TCTAGAACCACCGAGAGCTGTTGGAATCGAGGGCATATTTTGAGGTATATCAGATTCTGAGAATGAGAAAGCGAGACTATTTGAATCTCCTCCTGTATTTATGTTAGTAAAATCAGCGGGACTAAGACTAGGATAGTAGTTTCCTTCATCATTGTAATTGATGGGAGAGAAATATCTATCCATTGTAGTTGAAAAAAAAAATTGATGTAGAAGAAATAAAAATTAAAGAAAGAGAATTGGAATATGGAAATTGGAATTTTGAAAATTGGAAATATGAATTAAAAATTGCAAAAACTAATAAAAATTAATCCATTGTAGTTGAAAAAAAAAATTGATGTAGAAGAAATAAAAATTAAAGAAAGAGAATTAGAATATGGAAATTGGAATTTGGAAAATTGGAAATATGAATTAAAAATTGCAAAAACTAATAAAAATTAAAATACGAGCAAATTAATAACAAAGAGATTAAGAAAATAAATGAATAATTGAGAGATTAGAGAATATGAGAGAATTTGAGTTGTAAGAAAAATGTAAGAGTTTAGGGCCAATTTATAGGAAAAAATGGGAAAGAAAAATGACAAAATAGACCCCTCCAACGGCTATATTTCAAGGGTAAATGGGTAATTTGAAAAATAAAATAAAATTTTTTTTTTTTGGCCAACCCGCCGGGTTGGCCGTTATTCCATAACAGTCAACCCGTCAAGTTGACAACAGCCAACCCGTCGGGTGGGCAGGTCTCTTTCTAAAGAGAAAAAACAGCAACCCGGCCCACCCAGGGGTTGCTGCCGGGTTATGGTGGTCCGGGTTCAACCTGCTTCGTTACAGGCCGGGTTAGGGTTGACCCGCCTAACCTGGCCCATTTCTTCCACCTCTAGACATATATCAATATATATCAATATGATTTACACAATATAAAATAAAATATATTTTATTAATCAATGAACATTATTATAAAAAAGTCAATTTTACAATAATTGATTGACTCTAAGACATCTACTCTAATAATTTTAACTTAAATTATTGGCACAATTTTCAACTATTAGTCTATTACCATTCAATAGTTTAAGAATTGATGAGGTAACAACAAAAATAACTATCTTCAACTTTAATCTCATATCATACTATAATATCGAGTATCGATATAACATTGCTCCTTACAGTTTCAAAATCCAATTTTTTCTTTGCTTAACGTAAACAAAGTAGAAGAACACTAAAAAAACGAATGAAATATATTCACAACAATCGATTCACGAAGTAGGTGAAAATTCTAAGTACGGAATCTAATGGAACACAAGATAACCCAATTGGTTTACGTCTACGGAGGGTATGGAAAAAGTTTCATAAAGAAATCAAAGGAGTACAATGGTATACAATAACTGGACTCTCATTACAAGTCTCTCTCTCTCTCTCTCTCTCTCTCTCTCAACCAATCCATGGAGGCTTCCCTCGAGTTCTACGTTGTGTTGACCCTCTTTTGAGAATGGGTTTTCTTTTGTCACAATTCTCACCATCTTATCCTACAAACAACTCTTACTAAACTCTTCCTCTCTAGGGCTAAAAATTACATTTAGAGCAATACTAGTCTTACAAAGACAAAAACAAAGAGAACATACAAAGACAATTTCCACCCTTCATCTTCATGATTTCTTTCTCTCTCTCCCTCTTTTTCCGTTTTTTCTTTGTTTTTTCCTTCCTGCTGATGTCACTTTGTAACTCTCTTTGTATTATCTTTGTAAGGATAGCCTTTTTCTTACATTTATGTAGTATTTGCATGTTTTTAGCTACTTGGTCTTGCGAAAAAAGTCTTTATCTTATTTAACACCTGGTTTTGGGTTTTGCTTCCATTATCGTTAGTCTGCGTCATGGTTTTCTGATTTAGGAAGAGTAGAAGATGCCATAATTATCAAATTGGAATGCTGGAGGTAGTTTTGACTCCTGTGAAGAATAATAACAAGCAAATAAAAATTGTAAATGAAGTTAAACGGGAGAAATCGATTGGGGTCAAATACTGGACACGTTTTGCTTGAGAGGCATTGAAAATGGTGGTTTAAAAAGCTGGTGAATTGACAATTTTTTTCTTTCCAAGTTTAGAGAAGATGTAATAGTTAATACCAAGTTATTATCATTGAAGGGATTCTTTGAGAAAGAAAGTATTGTAGTTGTTTGTTTAATTGCCACTGAGAAGTACTGCATAAATTCCTGATTCTAAAGTATCAAATANTTTTAGTAATACATCCAAGAGTCCTAATTAACCGTCCAATAGTGGTTTTATATACATAAAAGCAGCAGCTTAAATTGATTTATTTTTATTATTTGTTCAAGGACTTTGTTGTTAAGTTTTCTACTAATCATATAGTCAACCAACTGAAGAATTGAATGACCAACTTGTATAATGCATTAATACTCATAAAATTGCTGCTGGGCCTGGAATCAATAGCAATCTCTCGTTGCTTATCTGCAAGATATGGATATAAACGACCGCAGACTTTAGCTATGAAGAAGACAATGCCGACAACTTTTAGAATATAAATAAAATCAATTGTTTCTAAGGGATTGAAAAATAAAAGAGCGATGAGAAGCTTTTACGAACGCTTTCTCTCAATTGAGTTGTGTATAAAACGAAGGAAATGAGTTCAATTTATAGTCTTTCCTCATCAATCAACTTCTCATAAAAGAGTAATTATCCTATAACAAATTATAATTTATGTCTCTTCGAGTGGACTTGCATCGGCTATGTGCCAAATTGTGGAAATCCACCACTTACGACACTTTATATTATATAGTGTTATTTATCGAATACCTTGTGCGTTTTAAAAATGCAATTATATCCCTTATTTTGTCCATTAACCTTAAAGTAATGCTACACCCACAACGTCTTCTCACAAACTTTTTCTCGCAACTCTGATATAACAACTCGTCATTAATTAGCACACAAAATGGGGTTTCGCCTACTTGTATGGGTCTTGCCTGCCTATTTACGAGTTAGTCAATGAAGAACTGTCACGTCAAAATTGTGAGATAAAGTTTGTGAAAAGAGGAAGAGAAAATTTGTGAGAAGAGATTGTGGGTGTAACATTTTTCTTAACTGATAAATATATTTAGTTTTTTAAACAGGCCTTTTTTACTTTTCATCTTTTTATAAATATCTTAACTTTTTTTTTTTTTTCCCTTACCTCCACCACTCAACATCCACTTACTCTGGTCTCGTGTAACTTCAACAAACGGAGCGAGGTAGAATCCAGCCTCGAGCAAAGTCGCAGAGGCCTTCAAGGACACAGCCAGAAGCCACAAGGCCAATGGACTAGTGGCAACAATGTCACAAATGTGCAGTTGATAGGTCTCAGGATTTGAAGGGAAGTGATAATTTTTGGAATTCCATTCTATTTGTTAACGGATTTCTATTAATGGTTTTTAACAGAATAAGAACTATATTTTTGAAAAAGTTGGAGGGCTAAACAATATATAAAATCCAAGGTGTTTTCTGTTATATCACTTAATATGGTTAAATCAAAAACTTTTATAAGGTTAAAGTCCAATAATAATGGCAGTTTTATATGAGAAATGTTAAGTCTATAACATAATCTTACAATCCCCGACTTAGCAGCTTATAACCCAATAACACCAATTTGACTTTCTTTTTCAATTGATTTTTTTTTTTTTTTTTGTAACCAAGGTATCTGGACCAACTTATATAACTACTTACATCGCAAATGCTGCAATGAGAAATCGAACTTGAGATTGTGAGTCTATCCATGTTATCCCTAATATGTCCTACCCACGAATGGTTTTAGAAATTACTTACTTCAAATATAAATATAACTATTCGACACAAATAGGTCCGAGGTATTTTAACTTACACAATTTTCAACCATTAGTCTATTACCGTTCAATAGTTTAAGAATTGATGAGGTAACAATAAAAATAACCATCTTCAACTTTAATCTCATATCATACTATAATATGGATATAACATTACTCCTTATAATTTCAAAATCCAAAATTTTTCTTGCTTAACCTAAACGAAGTAGAAAAACACTCAAAAAACGAATGAAATATATTCACAACAATCGATTCACAAAGTAGGTGAAAATTCTAAGTACAGAATCTAATCGAACACAAGATAACCCAATTAGTTTACATCTACGGAGGGTATGGAAAAAGTTTCACTATGAAATCAAAGGAGTACAATGGTATACAATACCTGGACTCTGATTACAAGTCTCTCTCTCAACCAATCCATGGAGGCTTCCCTCGAGTTCGATTAGATTGGGGTCAAATACTGGACACGGTTTGCTTGAGAGGCGTTGAAAATGGTGGTTTAAAAAGCTGGTGAATTGACAACTTTTTTCTTTCCAAGTTTAGAGAAGATGTGATAGTTAATAACAAGTTATTATTATTGAAGGGATTCTTTGAGAAAGAAAGTATTGTAGTTGTTTGTTTAATTGCCACTGAGAAGTACTGCATAAATTCCTGATTCTAAAGTATCAACTATCTACCATTAAAGGAAGAATCATGTCATACCTGCCATTATCAGATGCATCTACAAAATCCAGTAAGTACTGCATAAATTCCTGATTCTAAAGTAGTCACAAGCACTCTCGTTCTCGTACACTAACACCTAAAAACAAAACAAAACCAAAAGAAATTTCAACAGCTTTGTAATTGGTATATGTATGTGATGAAAGAGAAGAAGAGAGTAGAGTACCTTGAACTGTGAAGGAGAGGTGGGAGACAAGAATGGAGGAGATGATATACTAATGAAGCTGGCCATGGCTTTCAAGTTTCAATTGAAAATAGCGAGATCAGAGTTTCATAAGCTCAGCATCTCAATAGCAGCAGTGGAGTTGCACAGCTGTTTACTGTTTGCTGTTTGCCTGATGAAGAGACGAGACAAAGAAGTTTCTATAGACTGAAACCCAGTTCTAATTAAGAACATTCACCCTCACTACCAAATTCAACAGTATTTTATTTCAATAAGAATAGTTGCTATCACAATAATAGAACTGCAATTACAATTATTGACTTACTGTTAAAAATTTAGTTGTAAATATATTAAATCGTGAGGTTCTATCAGTTTAGAGTATGAATACACTATTGACTAATACTTCTCAAGGCTTTCAGAAAGGAGGAAAATAATGTTCATTCAACATAAAAATTTATCCTGTAGACTGTACATGAACTGCTATGATGATGGATGATTTAACTAGGCTGTTGACTTAATTCAGAGAATCCAGATGCCTCTGCAAGGGCTGACAGTTCTTGCTCTCCACTGAGAACCTGTGAAAAAACATCCATTCCAAGGTGAGAAAACAGAGTAACATTACAATAAAGAAGAGTAAGTATATGGTGAAACAAACTCAAAGTCATACAGTTTGTTTGTTTACTTTTTTTTTTTTTTTTCCTTCTTTATTTGATGACAGCTTGCTTAAGTGTGAATACTATGGAGGCCAAAGAAAGATCAAGAAGAGGGGGCAAAGAAAATAGCTGGGAGCATTTCAGGCCTGATGAATGAGTACAACTAAAAATGAATGACACATAATTAACAAAACTCTCTGCATCATTGGATTATACTTGGGATGGCTAATCTCATTCATTTCATCAAAAAGCAGACTAATAAGAATTATACAAGAATGACGACACCTGAAAACATTTCTAACAAATTTGGGCACGAAAAAGGAAAAAGACACTTATGTGACTCAAAGCAAGCTTTCCTCACCTGACCATTAATCACCCACATAGGGAACCCTTCAATTTTAGCATCCACACATGCCTTGGCCATTTTAGTTCCTTTCCTGTATCCATCTGGGAAGCACTCCACATAGTCCAGCAGCTTCGCAGCATCCTGTCCAAACATCTGCTCGGTGACACAAAGCAAATATTGCAGATAGAAAATTGTGGTTAATATTTTCCTTTTGAATGAATTAAGAAAATGATAGCACAACACAGATAAACGTGTACAAGAATAATAAATTTCCAAAACAATGCTGATTGGAAGCACTCTGCTCAAGAATAGAAAGCCAGGTCAATGGGCAAGTATGCTGAATGAATATTTACATGCTAATAGAAATTAGCATTAGCTAATTGTAGGAAAGGAATGCATATGTTCGAAAGAAATTGAGCCCATGGCACTTTGGTTTTCAATTTTATACACAAGATTCGCTGATAAGAATGGCAAGTCAAAGAGGTCATCACTATATTAGCAACAAATTTTAGGGATTCTTGAAGAAACACAAGGCAGCTTATTTTCAGTACTAAAAAGTATAATGCTTGAACTGTAAACTGCCAGTGGATGATTGACATACAAAAGCTTGATAATTAACTTTGGCAATTTTAACAGTGACAGTTACCTAATATAAGGTTGAACAGACAATAATAATTTATCTAACAATGTCTGCCTACTTCTACAGAATCTACTTGAGATTTATAGAAGAGAGAAGGAAGAACCTGTTTTTGTTCTAAGCAGTGCGAACACATATAAGGTTGAACAGACAATAATAATTTATCTAACAATGTCTGCCTACTTCTACAGAATCTACTTGAGATTTATAGAAGAGAGAAGGAAAAACCTGTTTTTGTTCTAAACAGTGCGAACACCAGAAAGCCCCGTATATTTTAGCTCCTATTGCTTTCAAATGTTTTGCAAGGGATAGAGCGAAAGGACTTGATGGTGTAGTTATCTCAGTTTCAACATATGGCAAGTCAACTTCAGCTAGACTGTTAATGAAGACAATAAGAAAGAAAATCACTGCAAACATTCAGGACACAAATAGTTTGAATAGGAAAAAATAACATACATCGGCAATAAGAATCTTCCATAATACATAAATAAATAAAACTATAGAGATTATTATTTGCCAACATGATATGAACAATAAAACTCATCATGGAAGAGTGAAATGTTTGCACACAGTCAACATTTTCCCAAACACAGAATGGGACATTTGTCTAGAAATGCTAAATCTCTACAAAAACTAAAAGAAATCAAGTTTCTTAAGGCAACTTTGATTATTTACTACAATTTAGAGCAGAAAACAATCCTCGATTCTATGGTTTTTTTTTTTTTTTTTGGTTCAAAATGTCACTTTTGAATGGCTGGATTTCCCTTTGTGCAGTGACAAAAGAAGGTATTAATACCTAATTCTTTAACGTGGAAAACGAAAAATAAAAAATAGAAACCGGGTATTCTATGTTTCAGAGGAAACATGGAAGTAAAAGCAGCTGTCTCGCAAATCACTTAGACAAGGGAACTATCTTAAAATGAATAGCCAGTTGAATACAAAGATATGACAGCAGCTCTATGAATCAACAAAACGAGAGCAATGAGCATAATTTATGCATATATATTGTTAACCTGGAAGGTAAAGATTGAGAAGAACTATATGAGGTGCTTAGGCTAGCAATCACCAAGCTCGCTATACATAGCTGTATACCCACTACCTTCTGTATCTCTTCAACTCCAAATTCCTACAAAAAATAAAGGTATAGATATTTATGAACCCAATCAATTAGTTTTTAGTAACCACCAGCAAATGAGGAAAAAAAAAAAGTTAATTTAAGAAAAAAAACCTTCAGAGTGATGAAAAATAAGCTGAATGACAACAATGCTGATGTTAGGCNTAGCTAATTGTAGGAAAAGGAATGTATATGTTCAAAAGAAATTGAGCCCATGGCACTTTGGTTTTCAATTTTATACACAAGATTCGCTGATAAGAATGGCAAGTCAAAGAGGTCATCACTATATTAGCAACAAATTTTAGGGATTCTTGAAGAAACACAAGGCAGCTTATTTTCAGTAATAAAAAGTATAATGCTTGAACTGTAAACTGCCAGTGGATGATTGACATAAAAAAGCTTGATAATTAACTTTGGCAATTTTAACAGTGACAGTTACCTAATATAAGGTTGAACAGACAATAATAATTTATCTAACAATGTCTGCCTACTTCTACAGAATCTACTTGAGATTTATAGAAGAGAGAAGGAAGAACCTGTTTTTGTTCTAAGCAGTGCGAACACATATAAGGTTGAACAGACAATAATAATTTATCTAACAATGTCTGCCTACTTCTACAGAATCTACTTGAGATTTATAGAAGAGAGAAGGAAAAACCTGTTTTTGTTCTAAACAGTGCGAACACCAGAAAGCCCCGTATATTTTAGCTCCTATTGCTTTCAAATGTTTTGCAAGGGATAGAGCGAAAGGACTTGATGGTGTAGTTATCTCAGTTTCAACATATGGCAAGTCAACTTCAGCTAGACTGTTAATGAAGACAATAAGAAAGAAAATCACTGCAAACATTCAGGACACAAATAGTTTGAATAGGAAAAAATAACATACATCGGCAATAAGAATCTTCCATAATACATAAATAAATAAAACTATAGAGATTATTATTTGCCAACATGATATGAACAATAAAACTCATCATGGAAGAGTGAAATGTTTGCACACAGTCAACATTTTCCCAAACACAGAATGGGACATTTGTCTAGAAATGCTAAATCTCTACAAAAACTAAAAGAAATCAAGTTTCTTAAGGCAACTTTGATTATTTACTACAATTTAGAGCAGAAAACAATCCTCGATTCTATGGTTTTTTTTTTTTTTTTTGGTTCAAAATGTCACTTTTGAATGGCTGGATTTCCCTTTGTGCAGTGACAAAAGAAGGTATTAATACCTAATTCTTTAAGGTGGAAAACGAAAAATAAAAAATAGAAACCGGGTATTCTATGTTTCAGAGGAAACATGGAAGTAAAAGCAGCTGTCTCGCAAATCACTTAGACAAGGGAACTATCTTAAAATGAATAGCCAGTTGAATACAAAGATATGACAGCAGCTCTATGAATCAACAAAACGATAGCAATTAGCATAATTTATGCATATATATTGTTAACCTGGAAGGTAAAGATTGAGAAGAACTATATGAGGTGCTTAGGCTAGCAATCACCAAGCTCGCTATACATAGCTGTATACCCACTACCTTCTGTATCTCTTCAAATCCAAATTCCTACAAAAAATAAAGGTATAGATATTTATGAACCCAATCAATTAGTTTTTAGTAACCACCAGCAAATGAGGAAAAAAAAAAAGTTAATTTAAGAAAAAAAACCTTCAGAGTGATGAAAAATAAGCTGAATGACAACAATGCTGATGTTAGGCAATACAAACATGAGAATCCAGTAAATTTTGTGCTTAAAATGTACAAAAAATATGCACTGGCAGCAGCCATGGAGGTAGTGCTCCCAAGTAAAATCAAACGACCATAAGATTCACCGATTCCAAATGGTAAGTTCTTTCTGCCCAACTGCAGACCGAGCACTCCAACTAACCCATAGGCAAACATTCCAATCAATGGAAGAGGAATACCTGGCAAATTCCAAAGAACTATAATTAAAATTTCATTTTCAAACACATTTATGATTTAACTATAATGTTATTCATATGCAGGTCATACTATAGTACCAGCCTAATAAAGTTACTAGACCAATATTTTGGTTTTTCATCTAACAATGGTAGTATATATAAGGGGATAACATTTATTAGTAATTGAAAAACCATTCTTAATAACTAAAACATTATTGCACGTAATCAAAATTCTAGGTAAATTTATAGGCCAGTGTCAACTAAATCTCTTCATATGTAATTTTATAGTCACATAGATAATTCCCCAAGTACTGTAAATCAACATGATCCAAGTAACAGAGTTCATATAAGACGCGTTTAAGACTTACTTTTTCTTTGTCTTTCAATTGTGATTCCTCATGGTTTTATCACGAATCATACAACAGACTCAGCAGAAGAATGCAAACTAAGAGACTACTTCAAATCAAAGGTAATACCGAAAACTACGGCGTAATCACTATTCAGAACGTCACCGCAATTGCCGCCACCACTCGGGCAAAAGGCGTCAGAATTTGTGAGCTTGAGAAAAGACAGATACGCAGTTTCAATAAAACCTACGCCTCCGATTCCTGCACACCAGTTGTATGTCGAAATGCTCGAAGACCACGAAGACGACAACGACGGCTTCGTTTCAGGTTTGGATTCAGTTTCCTGTCTCGGTCCAGAAGCTAAACACTTGGCGGGAAGCACAAACACTCTTGTTCTCGCTCCCAAACACTTAAAAAAAAAAAAGAGTGAAATACAAATTAACAGCGTTGTAATTGTAATGAATATGTAAAGAGGTAGACAGAAGTGAATAGAGTACCTTGAACCGTGGCGAGGTTGGAGACAAGTAAGAAGGAGATGAAAGACTAATGAAGCTGGCCATAGCTTTCAAATTCAACTGGGAAATGGCAAGGACAAAGTCTCAGAATACGAGTAAATCAACCGCAGGGGGTGTACTTTGAACGGCGTCGTTTAAAGTTCGCTATTGAAGTTTCCAAAGACTAAAACTTGGTTCTAATCAAGAACATTTAAATGGGCCTAACTGCTAGCCCAACCCAACCAAGCCCAATTATGATATACATATGCTCAAGAAGTGGATCTGTTGCAGTTAGGCATCGCAATGGGCCCCACAATTCTGGGGCCCCATTCCGACCCGCCCCGTATGTGGCTGGGATTCCCTAGTTTTTTCGGGGATAAGAGCAGGGATGAGAGGAGTTTTAATCCCCATCCCCGGGGATAGGGTGGGGGTGGGGGTAGGGGTGCCCTTCCCCTGCCCCGCCCCGTCCCACCTCACAAATAATATATAAAATTTTATATATATATATATATATATAATATTTACTTTTCACTAATACCTCTATATATTTTACTTAATTACACAATTATCTTACTTATATAAACTCATATTTTCCCAATTTCCCCCAACTTAAACAATTGAACAAGAACAAATCCTAACTCTCAAGTCTTAAACTTGTTACCATTGTCATTCGCCCTTGGCCAACTTCATATTGTCGTTCGTCATGTGGACGAATACATAATGAGTCTGTATTTTGGACAAGTGCAATGCCTTATCTTAAGTTTAAACGATTAATTAAAGTGTTTGTTATGTGGATGAATCTAAATATTAAAAGAAAATTAACTATTGTGTTTTGTAATGCTCAAATTGATGTTAATGTAAAATTAATAGGACAGGGACGGGCCTCCAACATTCCCCATGGGGCACGGATGGGGAATTCTTGACATCCCCACAACGGGGACGGGGTGAGAGTGGCGATTGATGTTGAGAGCGAGGATGGGGACGGTGAATGAGATCCCCGTCCTGCCCCGCCCTATTGCCATGCCTAGTTGCAGTAAGTTTCAAGAGTTCAATAAATTGAACATTGAGAAATGAGAAGACCTTCCTCCAATAATACAATGGAAGAGACGGGTGGGACTAAATTAACAATGGGACTATTTTTCTCACGGGCGCACAACAAATTTTGATGAGTGAATTCACACCTCCAATTTACAATATCTAATATTGTAGCATCTGGGTAATCGCCACGTGTCTGTGAAAGCAGCCAGACATGGGAAGATGTGCTCAAATGATAATATTTCCAGCCAATTTCCAGGTTTAAACTTATCATGCTGATGGCAATTGCAACTGTTCTTGTTCCCTTCCCAATATCTTAACCGCCTTTGAGTTTTGATTCCCTTTGTATTTATTGTATTTATCCCCAGTCATGGAATGAAACTGCCATTTTTGATGTGTCACCCATGCTCCTTCTCCTTCATCATCATTAAATAATCGTAACAGTCATCCATTCATTCACTCAAGAATTAATCATGGAAGCAACTTCCTTACTTTCACTGTCTAGCTCCACTCTCTCTTCACTCCCTCCTGTTGTTCTTTCTTCTCGGAATCTCAATCACAGGTTAGCTACTTAGCTCTAGCTTGTTATATTCATTTCAGTTGCTTAATTTTACAGAGTTTAATGTTTCAATTCGTTTCTCTGTAGAGGTCTGTTCTCGTTGGCTGTGAGTTCACAGCGATGCAACGCTGGCATCAGTAGCAAGAGCTTGAAACTCCGGTACGTGCAAGTGTAGATAAAGAATTTTGTTAAAGTTCTCGTTTCTTTGTTCTTGAATTGGCTTTTTCTCTGTTTTTATATAAAGCCCAAAGGCTAGTCCGAGAGGGAATCTGGAGGCTACTGGAGTTCCAACTTCTGTGCCTGTTCGAGTGGCCCACGAGCTTCTTCAAGCTGGCCATCGTTACTTGGATGTCAGGTTTTGCTTTCGATTTTAAGTAAAAGTTTCATTTTTATTTTACTTACAGCTTGAAAACAAAGAGTTAAAAATGAAAGCCGAAATTCTTGATTAAAATCCCTAATGTTTTACCGAATAATTTGGTTTTTTGTGCGACTCTGTAGGACTCCTGAAGAGTTCAGTGCGGGGCATGTCCCTGGGGCTGTTAATGTCCCTTACATGTACAGAGTTGGATCAGGTTTTCATTTACTTACTGGTTTCTGCTCCATTTACCCAATTTATTCTCAATTCTTTGCACTTAAATCTTCTTTTGTAAACTTTTTGTGTCTAAACTCAGGGATGACAAAGAACCCAGAATTCCTAAAGGAAGTGTCAGCTTATTTCGGAAAATACGATGAAATTCTTGTTGTGGGTTCCTACCTCCTATAACTAAATTTCTTTTTATTCTACTGTCCTGAAACTCTCTTTCAATTGGCATTGAACATGGAAAATATAATGTAAATCTTGTTTGTACAGGGGTGTGAACTTGGGAAAAGGTCTCTCATGGCTGCTACAGATCTTTTAGCTGCGGTAAGCACATCATGCTTTAAAGCTTAAACTTGGTTTTTAAGCATCATAATTTGCTCCAGTTTCAACATCAAGTGTGTTTTACTACATTTAAAGCAAAGAATCCAATTCGCTTCGATGTTAAGAGATTGAATTACTTTAATTTTAATCTAGCTAATGGCTTTTGGTTTTCAACTTCAGGGTTTTACCGGCATTACTGATATGGCTGGAGGGTATGCTGCCTGGAGACAGACGGGACTCCCAACTGAACTTTGATTCATGGATCTGGAAATCGCTCTTTCTATATGAACTATAACCTTGGTCTGAAACTGGTGAATGTCCAGAAAAAATCTTACAAAAATGTACTTTCCGTACAACAGAGATGGGTAAATGTTGCAGAAAGTTTGTGTAAAGTTTGAATCAATAATAATATAGTAGATGAATAAACAAGATATCACCATTGCTCCCTTTTTTTTTTTTTTTAAATCTCTGAACAGAATACCTCCAGGGATTTATAATTGAAATATAAAATATCTATAAAGCATAAATTTTGTTTATTTTAATTTAATTTACAAGATTTCCATAATCTTATGGTTCTCCCATTGCTTATTCAGGTCTTAGAGTCTTGACTTGTAAAGTTGTATAAAGTATAAACAACTCCAAGAAATTCATAACTTACCTACCAGTGGTCCAACTATGACTAAGTCTTTAGTAATTTTTTTTTTCTTTTTTAGAGATTAAGGGTGTCTAAACCAGTTTGTGCATACTTCGACTAATCTTAAAGTCATAAAGTTAACAATTGGATAAACTCTTTAATGATCATCCCTATTAGTAACTGAAGAGAATCAAATTCAAGAAGAATCATTACCGTCCCATCCGGTCATCCAAGGACGGTTTCTATATGTTAGTTTTCCGATAGTCTTTGTTTGTTATATATATGATATATATAATATCCTCTGCCCATCTCGTCTGTTATATATCTGATATAATATCCCCTACCCATCTTGTTAAATATGACTTGAAGAATTAGGATTATCACATATTATCCTTACTCGTTACTCGTTGGGTAGGGATCAAATTTATCTCTACGGTCCACCGCCGGCTCTACTCCTTAGGTAGGGATCAAATTTATCTATATCTCTTGCTTACCTCATTCAGTGTGTCTCAGATTTATTTTTTGCCCATTCCGAAATTCAAAACTATTTTCAATAGGATTAGGATTTATCTATTACCCATCTCAAGGTTTAAAACTATTTTTTTTTTTTATAGATAATATCACTGAGTTCAAGTCAAACGATGAACCGCTCCAACCCCACTAAATGAAGTGGATAAGTGATATTATAATACATGTTAAGACTTTAAAATCCGTGGAATGCTTCAAACTCACACGGAGCTGGTGGTACAAGGAATTCATCCTGCCACGTTCTGAGTTTCTGACAAGCATTAGGCAAAGAAAGCTACCCTCCCTAGAAGCAAAACATGGTGCGCATTTCTCTAACTTTACGCGTCTTCTTCCTGAGGGATTATGGATTAAATCTGAGACACACTCAAGCAACCAGGTAAACCAACAAACAGAAAAAATGGGAAAGTCCAGAAACTGGTTCGGTCTAATTAGAAGAAAGTTCAATAGAGTGTCTCATAGAGAGATCACTATTTTCCATAGCCCAAATCCCAGCCAAGAAGCAATCATTGGAGTAGCAGAAGAAATCTCAGAAGAAATAGCCAACTCTGGTAACAGAAGAAGCTCAGTTTCACTGACTTCATTTAAGAAGAAAGAACCAACCATGGAAGACATTGCAGCCATCAAAATCCAAGCAAATTTCAGGGGTCATCTTGTAATATATCTAACCCATTACACTTGTATTCAATAGTGATTTCTCTTATAAGGCAAAGTAAACTGATACTCTTTCTGAGTTTTGATAATCCAAAAATTTGACAGGCAAGGAGGGCGTTTCGGGCACTGAGGAGTCTAGTTAAGCTGCAAGCTCTGGTTCGTGGAGTGTGTGTGCGAAGGCAAACACGCATAGCCATGCATTGCATGCAAGCACTTGTGCGATTACAGGTCAGGGTTCGAGCTCGGCAACTCCTCATCAGCCAGTGACTAACACAATCTCTTTACCATAATTACTATTTCTAAACATACCATAATGTTGCATCCCAGAATTCAATAATACATGCAGTGTAACATTAACATGTATCATGGAAAGCATTAAATTTTCCATCAAAAGTTGTATACAAATGTATCCGGCAAACAATCATTTATATACTTATATGACACCTCACTATTCAAGATAAATACCTCAGCAAGAGTAGTACTCATTATTTAGCTCTGCAACTTAATTAGACAGAGAAGTACTTAGTCTAGCTAGTCTTCAACTCTTCATTGCTAAATGGCTATTCAAACATCAATTTTCCTACTAATCATCAGTCAATAACACTGAGTAGTCAAGCCAACTACAATGAGAAGGCCACAGAAAGTGGTAATTTCTGACCTAACTCATATTTTACAGATTGCATAGATTAGAAGGCAAGTAGTAGTATATATGGATGGTTAGGTGAAAGAAAACAACGGAAATGCAGGATGGAAGATAACACACAGACACAACTGAAAAACAGAATCTAAAGACAGGCTGAAACTAGGTTGAGTATTTGAGTATACATATAAAAGAGCAAGTACAATTGTCCAGGATGATCAGATCATACGTATATATATTATAGACAGCTTTCTCACTCCTCCCAACTTTAGTGATGACCCCTCCCGTGTGCTTAAAATAAGCCACCAGTTGATCTATTGCTGCCGTTATCTTCCCTCTCCCTTGCAACCTGCATTAAACAACAACATACTTCATAGCCAGAAGAAACATATATAAGGTTCAAACTTAGCTTGTCTAATTGCACCAAAATTTGGTCTTAGCCAATATAATACCTCCTTTATTAACTGCTGAAGGATATCAGTAATTTCTGAGAAATTTGGTCGTTGAATTGGATCAGAATGCCAGCATCTCTGTATCAGCTCTGTAAGTTTTGGGTGACTGTGCTTGGGGATTGAAGGCCTTAGACCCTGACAACAATGTCAATTAAATAAACTAAATTTCATTTTTATTTATTTGTTCCATTTATTCTCTTTTTAATTATTGGTGGGGTATATAGAAGGGATAGATACCTTTTGCACCACAGCAACTGCTGCTTGTAATGGGGAAAAGCCAGAGTAAGGGATCTGACAATTTGTTCATAAAAAATAAAAATTAAGTATATGAAGCTCTTCATAAACATAAAAAGCAAAAAGCAAAAGAAAAAGGTACCATTGCCAAAAAAAAAAAAAAAATATATATATATATATATATATATTTTATCCCCAAAGATAAATGACTTACTTCTGCTGATATAAGCTCCCATAATACAATCCCAAAACTGAAAACATCTGCCTTGTGATCATATGGTTTGTGTCCAATCACCTTCATTCATCAAGAACACAGTAAGGAAATGCTAGGGAAGTCTACTGAATCAGAATGCAGAAATCAAATTAAACTTCCTTAGAAAAAAGTAAATTTAGGATACTTGGCAAACTAAATTATCAAGCATATAATATCCCTATAATATGGTTTGACAATTAGAGGATGGCAAAATATCCATACAAACTGTGAAACCAATAAAAAAGCAGGAGAACCAATGGATGTCATAGATCAAGAAGAAAGCAAAACCATAATCTCCACAAAGCATTAGAACCATGATTTAGGATCGGCTAAGATGAATCCTGCTCCACTGTGTGGTTTGTATCCAAAATCATTCTTTCTGTTTGACCATACGCTAACATGTCTCTATGGAAGGTGATAATAGTTTGAGAAATCAGCCATGTGAAAACCTAAGAGCTAATACAGAAGCACAATATATGCATCATTACCAACAATTCCGTATACACAGTTTGCGAATAAAACTGAAGTACATGTGGGCTGCCATGGCTCTCTCTAATTGGAGGACAGTGTTAAACATCACTTCTCTTAGCAATATCACCATCAGCTAATATAAGAAAACTTCTAAAAGCATATAAAGACAAATTAACACAACAAAGAAACCAACACAGTTAAAAAATTTGCAGAAGTTGTGGCTGTACTGATCAATGTTCTGAAACCCGGCTCGCTTCTTGACCCGGTCAAGGGGGGCCGGTTCACAGGTTGGCCGGTCCAACCGGTTGGTCCGGCCAGTCAGACCCGTGTTTCAAGCAGTTTGAAATCTAGCAAAAACAGCCTGGAATACACATCAGTCCCTGCAGGTTTGAAATCCAGCAAACACACCCTTGTGATCTAGACAAATGCAAATCTGCAGTCGACTGGTTGGCGACGGCTACACCAAATGCAATCCCACTCATCCTTTGAGCCATTCCCCAGAAAATCTCCCCAAAATCTGGTCGAAATAGCACAATTTTCCAAAAAAAGCCAAATAGGCTTGTTTCCAGCATCGACAATTGCCCTCATCACCACCAAAACACTTCCCTCATCCTCCTCACCAAAACCAATCTGACCCCTCCCATGTTCGCTCCGCCAATCGCCGGCAACAGCCCACTGTTGTGGCCACGCGACTTTTACATTTTCCGGTCGTTTCACTTACCAGAAACTACCTCCGTCGCCACCTTTCGACTCACCGGAACTTCCTCTCCAAAACCCCCAATAGCCTCGCCACTGTCTGCTCGCCGATTGCCGTCCATAAATCGAGGGTTTACTTGAACAGTAGAAATTGGTAACTGAGCTTGGAGAAGGCTCTGGCTCCCGGTCCGACCGGTTAAACCAGCCGGTCCGGTCCGGGTTTCAGAACAATGGTACTGATAGACAATTAGGGTGCAATGAACACTAGAACTCAATAACCTGAAGAGTATATAAAAACTTCAAACAGTAAAACAAGGAAACAAGGAAACATCTGACACCACATATATGTTGTAAATTGCAGCCCTTTAAAAAGTGCTAACAGAAGAACTAATTGCAACCTCAGGAGCCATCCAGCGGTATGTTCCAGTTTCAGCTGTCATCACACCAGATTGAGCCTGCACTCTGGCAACCCCAAAATCTGCAACCTTCACAACCTGTTCAGGAAGGATAGAAGAATTTATACGTTAAGCTGCTTGACTCATATGTTCCAGAATGAAAATATATTTCTTAAGTTGAAGATTCATATTAACATTAAAAAAGCATTTTTAAAAAAGAGTAGTCCTACATTTACAAAATAAACATCCCAATTTTATCTCAAGTGATGTGTCAATTAATTTGGCATCATTACATCACAAACCATATCATCCCATCATTAATGTGATATGACAGATCAATAACCATATTAACTGAGATACAAAGTTGTGATATTTACTTGGCACATGTAGTATACTTGTTTTAATAAAGATAACAAATCAGTGATGAATTCACAAAATTCTCTTACTTCATTTTCATCCATCAGAAGATTGGCAGTTTTCAGGTCCCTGTGGATTATATTATTTTGGTGCAAATAGTTCATTCCCTTGGAAACATCAATTGCTACTTTAAGCAGAGACGGAAGGTCAAACACACCCTTCTGTGTATGCAGAAAGTCATGTATGCTTCCTCTAGCCATGAACTCTGATAAAGCACAAATATAACCATCAAAAATTGATTATAAGCGAGAGGATTAAAAAGTTTAAGTCATCCTACATAACATAAAACTTAAAATATAGGATAGATGATAGAGACTGAAAAGCTAATTTTTTACAATATTAAATTTAGCCACTGCACTGTTCTGTTCCCAGTCGCATAATATCAAAAGAATCAGACTTCAAAATATTAGCATTTCTTTAGTTATCAGGAAGATAGATATAAAACATTAACTAAAATTTACCCGTCACAATGCACAAATTTGGAGGTCTAGTGCATGCACCAATGAATTGCACAACATTCTTATGACGAATCTTCCTGCACATCAGAAGAAGGTGCTCGTGTAAAATAACAGTCAAGCGAAACAATGCATGCAGAGATGATAAATTTTCTCGGCAAGGCAATGAATGACGATTACATAATTTACTAAAGCCTCTTAATGCTCTACAGAGATAGAATCCAGGTCAGCCTTCACAGAGCTGCTTGATGGGACAAGCATTCGCATTACAGGTGTTTTTCTTTTTTTTTTTTTTTTTTTTTTGGCGCCTTCTAAAAGGCAAGTAAATACCATTCATATAACATGAGATTCTACAAATATAATTGCAAAAGATGCAGGAAAAAAAAGAAAAAGAGAGAGAGATTTTGTGGTTTACACCATCAGAGGTTTCTACAGATTATTCACGGTCAATAGAATTTACACATAGACTACTGCTGCCCTGATGTAATTAAGGGAATAAAGTTGATGAAATCCACATAGTTTTTTAGCTAACATAAAGATAAGAATCTTTTAGTTTAAAGAGTCAGATTTTCCACGTCATCTTTCCAGCAGTTCCAGCCTCATACAACCCAAAAAAGTCTCTTTCCCCTATCCGGACATAACATATTCCTCCATATGAAACTTCAAATCTAGTTTTATCATCTAATGATCAGTGGACATCAGTTTGTAATCTTTGCATTCAGGCAAGCATGACCTTAGCTGGCCCAGCCTATAACAAGCACATTCATTAATTACTATATGTGCCCATATAAAGAATTACAACCCAACTAGAATGCCTAAAAATAACCTATATAACATCACCATGCTCCATTCCATGTCAAAAACAATAAAAGAATGAAACAAAAATCTTTTTTACAAGCAAAAAGTAAATATCGCAACAAAGATCTAACTGACAAAAATCAATAACATCAAAATGAATAAAAAGAGGGTGAGTGATGCCCTTCCCTACCAGAATCATACATTTAACAAACCTCATTATGTAAACTTCCTGTGAAAACTCTTTTAACATATCAGTATCCACATGCTCACGCTTTAGGACTTTGATAGCCACTTCCTGACTACAGTATGTGCCTTTGTAACTGAAAGTTAACAGATACAACCAACTCAGAATCTGTACCTACAAAGAAAAAGAATTCAAATTTGGAAACTTACAGATCACCATACGCCCCAGATGAAACTTTCATTTCAACTGCCAGCTGCCTTGGAACAATTTCCCAGACATCAGTCCCATCGGTAGGTATTTCTACGCAATTAGGAAAGGATTCAGTAACTACTGGGTTATGCATATTGACAGCCGAAACTGAATGTTGCCTGAAAAAGGAATGGTCCTGCAGAGCAGTTACAAACTATCAAAGGGAAGTCAAACATAGGTGCTCCAAGTTGATTAGTCAAATTGTTTTTTGAAATCCGTGGTTGTGAATATGTGTGTGGCTTTGGATTGAAGCAGCGACAAAAACCACAAGTAACTAATAACATGTACGTGAACCGAGAGCTGATGTAAAACATCTGCACCCAAAATTGCTACATCCATCAGCAATTCCTATCAGAAAACTAACATAACTACATGAGCCTCAGTTTAACTTCAAAAGTGTTTAAAAGTAGCCATGGGAAGAAATCACACTAACAAAGTAGCCATGGGAAGAAATCACACTAACAAAAAAAGATAAATAACTTTCTAGATCCCTTAGAGCCCAAAAATAAGCAGACTATCAAGATAAGATACTATATAAAAGCAAGTTGCACCAAGCACAATAGAAATTCAACAGCCTCATTTGGCATCAGCTAAAGCACTATATAAAATAAACCAGCTTGACAGATTGGCTGATGATAGAAAAGAGCATTTAAGATGTTCTACATTCATACAACATTTTAATTAAAATGACTAGTACGGAGAACCACTACCCTGGATTTTATGACTTCCTTTTCCAGCGCACATTTGAGCTCTGCAGTATCCTAAAAAGTTTTTGACATACAAGTATGTCAGCATCAGAACTTATGAAAGAGAAAAGAAGATCTAAATTACCCTTTTTTCACTTACAAAATTTGAAAAGCTATTATGGAAGTTCTATGAAAAATAGGGAATGATGTAAGAAAAACTAAAAATGATTAACTAGCAAACTCAGAAGGGAATGATATTAAGAATAAATCGTCAGATCATACCTCAAGAGGCCAGCCATCAACAACAAAGACATCTAGTGAGAACCCATCAACAGTGGAAAAAGCATGAGCTTCTTGAATGTTCAGTCCAATCTCACTAAGTAAGGAAGTCAACTGCAAAATCAGTCACTTTTAATTATTATCAAATGCAAGCTGAGCATGTGAGCAGCACACACACACATGCACGCAGGCAGAGAGCACAAGAGAGAGTGCATGAATATGGCATATGGTTTTGCATCCTTCACGTCTTCCAACACAACCAATTTCATAATTCATGCACCAATCATACCTTATGAAAGGAAAACCAGAAACCATGAGCTATCTGATTTCACGAAGTTCATTGCATAAGAAACTCCTCAACATCCATTAAAACCACGATATCGAAGTAATGTTTATTTTAGGCCCCACATCAGCTTTCAATCAGCTCTTGAACCTTGACTTTACTAAATTAGATAATGTTATTTATTGGGACATCCTCAAAGAGTCTAGCAAATGAATAATAAGTATGATATTAGTTTCTCCCAACAAGGCAAACATGGAGGAAAAGAACAATATTTTCCAAGCATATGAAAGCAATGTTGCAGATGTTACAAATCAGTAAAACAATGCACTTAACATATAGAAAATGAATGAGTTCTTTCTCACATATTCTTAAAGTTCAACCACTTTGATGAACTCTAAGTCGAAAATGGATAGGTAATTGCTAATTGCTATGATCCAAAAATATGATGGCATATTCCACGCAAACAGCTAAACAAATTAGTAAACTACCTGAGTAAGGAGTTTTGGCTTGTCGACTGTTGAAAAAGTGATTTCGTGCATAGGCCTAGAAGAATGACAAATACAAGGTAAAACAGAGTTAAAACCATAAGAAACGGGCAAAATAAAAATGATCTAGAAGGTGATTTTAAATCTAGCTAATAGGACCAAAGAGTGAAATAATAATAAAATATGAACAAGAAATCTCCTCTAATCAACGTGCTAAATCAAGAATTTTAGCCAGTTTAAATTACTAAAAGCCTTGATTGTATGAGGGTAAGGGAAGAAGGGGTCACTTTCTACAATATGACTTACTGAAGATAGTGCTTAGTGACTTGAAATTCTTACTTGGTACAGCATGATGACAAACTTTCAGTACTATCTTCTTCTTCCATCATATCTTTATTGTCACACAGTGCAAGTGCTTCAAAATTAGGTGATGAACTAAATGTGGGAGGCGGATGGACCCTGGAGACAAAAAGATATAAGCAAGTATCAACAATGATAAAAATGCAGGTTCAGAATTACAAGGTCGGCAAATGTGACGAGATCTTGATAATTCTCAATTAAATTAATGAATTAACAACATAACAAACAAAGCAATGAGCCATACCCCTGTTTGCTCAGATAGTAAGAACTTTGTACATCTTCATTCATTGAACTATCTGAATCAACAGAATACACACTACTGGTAGGATAAACCTACATTAAGATAAAAGAAAATAGAAAAATAGAAAATATTTAAGATGCAGTTCATCACAAATCCAAACTGAGTTAACCATAAGCTAGAATCTTAGACTGCCGTCCAAGATTTAAGAAAAATAGATAAAACAATGAGATGGTGTGGGTTGTGCTATGAGATTCATCTCTAACTAACGACCCTGAAAAATTGAGATTACACAATTTTGGCAGGAAATAAGTAACATGGAGGTACATGCTGACTGAACCTCAACTATAACCCCCACCCACCAAATTTCGGCTTCTAAAACATCAAGTTACTGTTAATTATTTTTGTTTGTCACTCTCTAAACACCCAAAGCAAAATTAGTCAGGAAAAATAACGCTCAAACTTAACATTGGTGTGGTCCTGAATTTTCAAATCCATCTATTATTATGAAAAAAAAAAGATGCCACTAGTACTATGTGACATAAATGAAGTAAGATTTCTAGAATAATTGCCAACTAAACTCCGTTTTAGAAAAGACAGTATAAACAAAGCTATAGTCTTTAATAGTAGCTTTTACCATATTGGCGTGCATTTACCTGCACAACACGAACTTCAAAAACAGGCCGATTAGCGGGATCTTTCGCCAAATGCAGTAATCTCTTATGGGTCAAGACATCTTCAGCTCTATCCACGTTCACATCCAAAGCATAACTATACAGTGCCATTTAGAAGCATAAATTTCACAAACAGAAAAAAAAAAAAAAAATTAACCAAGCCTAACATAATCTTAAAAAGAAATTCAAATACAGAGTCCAAAATAATAACTATTTTGACACCGGCTGACAGCCGAAAACAAAATCAGATAATCATGTCAAAAAAAAAAAAAAAAAAAAAATCAGTTCTAACTCCTGCTCTTTCTCATTATAAAATTTGAAAAAGAATAAATTAAAAAAGAGATGGAGAAAATTGAAAGTAGCAAGGTTAAGTTAAGCAAAGGACGTACCGAGCAGGTAGACGGTTAAAATGAACCCAGAGTTCATTATCAAAGTCAGTTCTATTTGCTTCTTCGAAATTCAAATCTTGAAGGCGACGAAGCACCTCACCATAGACCTCAAATTTATGTCTATGGAGTCTCGAATTCGGTAGCGACTGCGACTCCGCGGCTCTACTTCCACAACTCTCGACGTCCTCTTCAATCGCCATAAGAAGCAACACAAAAACAAACAATCACAATAATCAGAAACCAGTAACTCACTCACTCACTAAAACCAGCTGAGAACTCCACATGAATGAAGGTGACCGTACAAAGAAAGAGAGAGAGAGAGAGATAAGAGAAAATAAAGAGGGAGAGTGGAGAGGAGAGGAGAGAGGGAGAGTGAATTTTGTTTGTGTTTTTGTTGTTTGGCTGTCAGAAGGTCGGAAAAAAGGTTTAGGGGATCTCCACGTCAGCATGGGGTCCAGGAGATGGTGGGTCACGAGACCTTGCCACCTTTCTTGATTGATTGGATAAACTAGGCAAGTTAAGGAAATATGATATTATTTTTTGTGATTTATAGCACTTCCGAGAACCGGACAAAGGTTTCCGCTTCTACTTCAATTTCAAAAACGTCACTTAATTCCACTTATGCCCTTCCCCCTCAATTTAAATAAAATGTTTAATTTATTAGTTATACCTCAAATCTTGTAAAAAAAATAATGACACGTTTAAGACTAAAAGAATTTAATTAGAATCTAATTAATATCATTACTTTATTGAATGGATAAAAACCTATGGCCATAGAGGGAATCTCATAAAGACTATTTACAAGATTCCTGACATAATAGTATAGTGATGTCAAGTCAAATCAAATAAATAATAATTTAGGGTACGTTTGGTTTAGTATTTTAGATAGGATTTTGGGGATAGTATTGGGTTATTTGATAGGGGAGTATTACGAGATAAATTTTAAAAATTTATGAAAAAGCCCTTAGGTTTACTAATTTAATTAAAGACCCTAACATATAAAATGATAAAAATACCCCCACCACCTGCAGTGCCAGATTCCGGCCACCACCGCCGGAATCTGGTCGAAAAATTTTGTTACGGCACAGACCGGTCGGATCTGTGCCGTAACACATTGTTATGGCCTTTTCCGACCAGATCTACGGTCTGTTATGGCAGTCGACAGCCGGAAAAGGCCAAAGATGTAGCCGTCTTTTTCGGTCAACGACAGCCAAGATTTGGCCGTCGCTGACGGCCAGATCTGGCCTTTTCCGTGCAGATCCATGGTGGATCTGGCCGGAAAAGGCCACATCGGTGAACTTCCGGCCATTTCTAGTCGGGAGTTAGGCCGTTGTACAGATTCTGGCTATCACCGACGGTGGTTGCCGGAATCTGACAAGTTGAGTTGATGGAAGTGTTTTTGTTAATTTTTAAACTTTTTTTTAGGGGGTATTTAGTGAAATTAATAACTTTATGGGGTTTTAAAGTACTTAAAAAAATAGAGTAATATTTCTGTAATAATGTGCCAAACATTATTTGGAGAATAGGATCCAGAATATGAATAAAAATATTAAGCTAAACACAGCCTTAGATTTTAAAATTTTAATATAAATAAGTAAATTAAAAATAAAATATCGATAATACTACATTTACAATCTGCTCTTAATCGATCAATTCGCAATAAATCTTACTTATTTAATAATAGTTTGATCCATCCAAATACAAACTGATCAATTATTTGCTATCACGTTAATATTTGTGAAAAATATTTGTCAACCAATTTTTAATAGTAAGATAAAATAAAAAAGTTTATATAATGTAGTTTTCATCATCAATGATGTAGTGTAATGGCTCATGCCTCATGACATATTATGGCATGACATAATAGAACATGAACATCTTTTCTTTTATATGTTATGCAAGCATGGTCAATCAATGTTGATACACTCTGATACTTTTATATGTTATGCAATCCAAGCTCTTGATGATAAGATGCGCACCAACGAGATATATGTAAATTATTTGGTGAAATTTATGCAAGAGATTGTATAGAATTTGAGATATGATGTCGAATTAATGAATAAATCGAAAGTACAAATATTAAGAGATTTTTGAAGTGGTTCAAATTTGACAGAAACCTTATGTTTATATTTTTCTTTGCGTTTTTTTTTTTTTTTTTTTTATATACAGTGTGGCTTACAAAACTATGAATAAAAAGGGGTTAACGACTTTTTCTCGACCAAATAATGGTTTAATGACATTTTCTCACCTACAGATTTTTAAAATATTACTTTATTATCTAAATTTATATTTTATTTTCTGTTTCAACATCGTTGCAACCAGGGGTGGATCTAGAGTATGTTGGCCCACCCTCAAATTTAAAAAAAAAAAAAATTGTATGTAATTTTTTTTTTTTTTTTTGGTGTGACAATTTCAACTAAAAACATAGAATATGAATATTATATGTTATTATTTTTTATTTTAGTCCACCTTAACAAGAATTTATAGATTCGCCACTAGTTGCGACCCTACGCCTCCGCCACCATTTTCTTTTTCAATCATCAATCACTAAAACCCCTTAAACCCTACTCTTGTCGACCCCGTCAATCGCTGACAATTAAGCGATTAGGATTTACGCAACTGCCAATTCCTAGTTAAATTATGATCAATCCCAACAACCAAAATCCAACCTTTCACCACCAAAATACTCATCTGCCTGCTATTTTCAAAAGTCACAACAATCTAGAACAAGTTAGATCTCTGTTCACTGTTGGAATATAAATTTGGGTAATAAAGTAGTATTTTAAAAGTTTATGGATGAGAAAATATCATGAAGGCATTATTTGGGTAAGAAAAAGTCGTTAACTCAATGAAAAATGATCCCTAATTGGAGTAAAAAGTAAACGTATACACTGTTATAATAGTAAACTTGCAAATAAAATTAACCCTAAACGAAATGACATGTAGGTGAATCCATACTCCGGAGATTAGACACACAACATAAGCATGTGGTGGGTGTAAATTTGACTAGACAAAATCAGTGCCCCTTGAAAAGTGATAATAGAATAGAAGCAACTTAAATATAAACAATGCTCATCACAACTCGGCGGATTGATATATGCGGCAAGCTGTCACAGCTTCTTTATTACTAGTTTAATTGATTGACTTCAGTTCATGAAAGATGAGTGATACGGTGATGTTATGTACAGTACAAGAGAAGAAAATTAAATTAATTAAAAACTAATTAATAAAAAGTTACTATAAATGGAATTACAGAAAGTGAAAGTGGTCCCTGACTGCCTCTGCCGATGGTTAGAGCCAATTTATTAGTGGTTGAGTTCCTCCTGCTTCTTTATTTACTTGCTACCTGACAAATGGTCAATTTTTTTTTTTTTACCCAGGCGGATTGGTTTATGTATTGCTCAACGACGTCGTTTCAAGAATCTTAAAGAAAAAAATGTTTAATACTTATAAGTGGCGTTTGGTTGAAGGTAATAGAAAATTATTAGAGTTATATTATCTTATATTACTTAATTATTATGTTTGGTTATCAAGTAATATAAGATTTCAGTAATTTTGCATTACCAATAATTGTTACTGTTAGTAATATTTGAGGTAATCTGATTATCTCTATTTTCTTAGGTATTGTAAGATTACCATGGTAACCTTATTTTTGTTATTTTTGTTACAATTCTATCCCTTATTAATAAAAATTTTAGACAACATTGCCCCTATTTTAAAATAAATTTAAATTAATATATCATTTCAATTTTACCCTTGTTTAATTAGGTTTTTGAACAATAATGTCCTTATATTTAAAACAAATTACAGACCACCACCACCACCCCGCCACTACCGCCGATAGCTGACCAACCACCATGGACTGTCGTTGGAGTCCCAAAAAATAATCAAGATTCGCTGGGAGGCTTCGATATGGCTGTTTCCGACCATATCAGGCCAGATCCCTGGCCATTATCGGCCAGATCTTGCCCAAATATGGCTGATATTGGTCAGGGATCTGGCCGTTTGGCCACATCGGAGCCTTGTGGTCACGGTGAGCTACTCATGATGACTTTCAGAGACTTCTGGCGGTGGTTTGTGGTGGCGGCAGGCTGTTGCAAGATGGGGGTGATTTTGTTATAAATTAAAGTTTTACATAAACAGGAGTGTTTTAGCTAAATCTGAAATATTGGAGGTTAAAAAATTATTCAAAAATTAATAATAAGAATAATATTATATTAATATTTAAAAAAGGGTCAATTTAGTAATTTAAATAACATACCCACCAATTTATTTCCCCTAACCAAACATATTAATATAACATACCAACCAACTAACCAAACATATTTTCCTAAAGATTCTCAGTAATCTTCAAGGTAATATAAAATTACAGTAATCCAACATTCCCTGAACCAAATGCACCCATAAAGTTATAATAGGAAATGGTAAATGTTTTTTTTTTTTTTTTTTTAAACTGAGATGTTTGAACCAGTTTATACGCCTAAAGAAGCTATCCCACACAACCGTGTTGCGGCTCTCTAGGTAAATTATGGACAAAAGTAATATTTACGCTTAACGGAAAATCGAACTTGAGATTGTGAGACTTATCATTAGTTATAGAATAATGCTAGGTTTACAAATCAATCTCAAAATCTTCTTTACAATGGTAGCTCGTTATTAGTCAGTTCATAAAATGGGTTCTACCTACCTATTTGTGAACTAACCAATGATAAATTGTCACGTCGAAGATTGTAAAGAAAGGTTATGAAGCTAGCATTATTGTTGATGATAACGTGTCATTAAACTAACGGTATACATTATTGGGTTTATTTAGATCATAAAGTAGAGATTTTAAAAGCTTGATATTATTTTATATAAATGTAAATAGGAACATGGCATCTCCCATAATTGTGAAGGAGAAATATTATTAATTTCGATTTGTCTGTATGGAATAATAAAACTTTATGATAAAAACTTGGCCACAGGCCCACAGTTAAAGAAGAAAGGCCATTGGACCGACAGACAAAGCTGATCGAAAAGAAAGAAAGAAAGCGTAGTAGTGAATTCTATTCGAATGCATGTGAGCGGTTTACACGTATTTAATTCAAAGCATTTTTCTCGAGAGCATGAACGTTAAAACATATAGGCTCCGTTTGGTTCACAATTTTGTGTTTTTGGGAAAAGTTTTTTGAAAAAAGTTAAAAAAAAGTTGAATTGAGCGGGTATTACGATGTAGGATTTACAAATTAATAAAATACCTCCTATGTTTGTTTTTTTACAAAACACCCTTTATAATAAAACATTAAAAGTTAACAAAAACACCCCCAATCCACCCTCAAATACGGACAGTCGGCCACCACCGCCGGAGGGTGGCCGGAGCGCCGTAACAAAAACATTA